ACTAGGTCGAAGCCTGGTCTGTTGGCTTCAACAGCTTCAAGCTGTTGCTCAGAGGTAAACTTGTTTGATCTTTGTGTGCTCATCCGATGAGACCTAGCAAAGACAAAAGCGCTCGTCTAGTTAAGTTTATCGGGATTTGGCCACCTAAACCTCAAACATATTGATTTATTCCAGACACATTGCCAATTAATCATCCGGTTCTGCTGAAGGATCGATGAGTCATCACATTAACTTTCTGACAAACGGTCAAATAATTGTCTAAGCTGGCCCGTAGCGACTGGATAGACTGATGCGTGACATTTGTTTTTGTGTTTTTCTGTGCCTCCCCCCCCCCCCCCTGGCGTCCCGCTCACGCCACTGTTGTTCGTACTTGAACTTACCCGTTATGCGGGTCGATTCCCACTGTTTTGTTTGAGGCCTGCTTGTCAAGTTCATGATATCCGCCATACGCCAGTTATGTTGTTATTCCCTCCGGACCGGTTAGATAGTTCATTGGCCCCAATACAACATGGTCAACAGTAGAACAAAAGTCATGCTGTTTAGATATCACGTCTCGGAACTGCCTTCGTCGAAGAATGTGATTTCAGTTGGTGCAAATCAAGTGAGTGGTAACGTAGTACCCAAATGAACCGCTGCTGAATCTCTAATTTATGATATTCTTTGTTCTGATGTTCTATAACCAGCAAAAACCTCACATCGTTGCGGCAGGTGGTGGCATGAGCTCACTGATAAGGTCTGCTTAGCGCCGCTGAGGCTCAAGTGGGTAATCGTTTTGGACTAGTCTTGAGACGAACTTACTGCGGATGTGCGATGCCATCTTCCGCAACATCGTTTGACTATGTGGTGCCCACACTAGGTAAGCTGCGTACCTAAGCAGGCCCAATTGCAGTCAGTCACACCTGGTGAGGGTTGATTAGTGCCTACCGCCCCTGTACTACCTATGTGGGCTCCGATGACTTACTTATCTGTTGTCGCTTTTCAAGTCCACATCTTGCGTGGCTATTGAAGTGCTTATAAAGCTCCAAATCAGACATCCGACTTCTCCAATGCCTTCCTGCAGGTACGATTCGGGGAATGAACGGTCACCCGAGAAGGTAGCGAAAGGTTTACGTGATCCCGTAAGTACTGCCTGTGATTTGTCCCAACCAGGTTTCTCCTACCATTAGACCTCTGACAAGACCGTGACTTCGCTAGGGACCCGAAGACGGATTTTTTCCCAGTTACAACCATAGTCTTGTTCGACACATCATCCTACGCCAAATAAAACTGAGTGTGCGTGCAGTCCGGGAGTGATGGTGATTCTAGATACTCGGAAAAATAGAAGAAACGAAAGATCCGGATACAAACAGTTTTTCTTTTCATTTCGCCTAGTCGTTGCTGCTGAGAATCTTGCAGGCCTGGAGTATAAACAGAGCATAAGTGCCGTTGGACAAACAGACCACCATCTTTCGACAGAGACTTGCATCTACAAAACACAAAATCACTTCGAACATGCCCCTTAGAACTCAACGAGAAACACTGGAAGTTGTGGAGAGCTTTGTATACCTTGGCTCGGTCGGAAGCGTATCTGATGGAATCATTAGTCCTGAACGCCAGAACCGTGTTTGCCAGTTTGCATCACTAGTGGCATCAAAAAGGCATATCTGTGGTCGTTGGTTTGTTTGCTGAGCTGGACAATTTGGTTGCAAACGTTTCTTTACCAACCGACGTGACATCATCAGTGCGTTGTTGGGAGGCGTAGTAGTGTGTAGCGATGAGCGGGTGGTTGAGCCTATCTGCATATCTGTTGTTCCATGGTTTGCCTATGCCAGACTAAGTTGTGGACTGCGCTGTTGTATGGTTGCGAGCAGATGTATCGACCACTGATGTCCCAAAAACCTTGCTGCTATCAGTTGGCGTCGTCGAGTTCATGAGTAGATACTTGGAAAATAGGCGTTTCTTTGTGCACCAGAAAATCCAGCACTATCAACTGTTGCGACTCAACCATATGCTACGCATGCCGACTCATTTTAACGGATATTTCATCCCATAAGTGAAGCCAGTCTACGCTGGAAAGCCGACAAGCAATGTGCTTCAGTGCTTTCTACTTGATGATACTGCCTTAGGTGATGTCACTGTCCATGTTATTTGGCACCAATTGCGAGGAACTGTCCGTCAGGCGCTCAGCGGAGCAAATTTGCTGGCATTAATCCGCATCTGCCTGAATGACCTATGGATCGACCCTAGTCGATCTGATCACTAGTCAGACTGATCACTGAGGGCTGCAACTAACTGGACTTTGTCGCCGGTCTCCTCTCACCCTAGGAAAAAACAGAATGTGTGGGTACGTCACCTTGTTTAGTTGGAGCAGACTGGTTGTGACCTTTCACAGCGAACATGTACTTTCCTGATCTCCCACCAACTGACTCGCGGTTGTCTGCCACCACCTTTATCACAGTCGCTGTCGCGGACAGCATGGTTGGAGAGGGAAGGTGCTTAGCCATCTGAATGGGTGGGTATGAAATGAATTGATTCGGTTTGGAAAAGTTTTGGACGCATAACCCATTAGTATCAAAACCTATGCGGCCATTTGTTTAGGCTACTCCCAGTGTTCAAAGCTGCATTTCACTAGGTAGTGTTAGCTCACAATTCAATAGGATTCTTGGTTTCTCACTAGTATTGTTGACCCGAGTCATTCTAAGGGTTCACTCGTGATCACTTGTCAAGGATAACAATGGGTGATATTTGTAGCAATCGCAGATCATTGGTAAAGGTTCACACAAATACAGTACCAGCAAGGGGTCTCTCCCTATTGGCCAATGAACTTAGTTACGTTCACCTTGGTGAAACAGGACAGAGTTGTGCTGCATTGTCATTTATGCTGTTGATTTTCTCGACAACAGACTAAATTCCTTTCACAATCTCCTTGGAGCTTTCTTCAGCGACTGCTTTCAGTCAGTCTGTGACTAAACCTTGATAACTTTGCGTCACAAACATAAGATCGCTTTGCTAGAAGACAAATCATAGCCTAACTCACGCTTTGAACACACACGAAGGACGAGATGGTTTAGTGGTGAGAGTGTGAATTTACTGACCGGAAGGTCCGTGATTCGAACCCGACTTCTGCGTCGCGACTTCTATTTCTAGGTTTGGGCAACCTGGCAGTATCTCAGCCTTCGTGCTTCTTTCGGATGGCGTGGCACCCGAAAGGGTGTTGCAGCTGAACTACAGCAGTTTAATCTACTGTTTCAATTTCCTTTCCAGTTTTTTTATCCATTCTATCGTGTTTACACTTACGTATGACAAGGATGTATAATCCAAACCATCTACTTTTTCCCAACACTTCGTTAGTTTTTTTTACTTCTTTGTATACGAGCTATCGCTTAACAGTGGGAGGGTAAACAGTACAGTCCACACTCTGCGGAACGCCCATAGCTTTCAAATTGGTTAACATGCCGAAGGAAGTTCAATAGGTTTAAGAAAGTGCATATTTAACTCATGCGGATGAATTTAAAATAGCGGCATCTCATTGAATTTCCGGTAGATCGGATGAAACCGTATAGTGAAATTGATGACTTCGTCATTCCTCAGTGTTGACGGTATTCCACTTTCACACTGAGCTTTTGTCGTGCGGTATGGTATTCAGGGCAGTTTTTGTGTGCCAGTTCGTAGCTAGTACACTCGAATGAATTGGCACACCATCCAACAGTTTGTAAGCACACCACATTCAGTCCATTGTGGAATGTGACCATAATAAAAGCACCCACCAACACACCAGTGGATCGGCTCAGGTCGTTGGTTTTTGTTGATCCACAGTCTGGTCGGATACACACTGTACCCATACTCCAACCCATTTCGGTTGAGTATAACTCCCGTTTGAACAGCATATATGAGGAAAATTTGTTGTCCCTCATGTGTGAGTAAGAGCTCGTCTGTGGGTCGATTTATGCTAATGAATCTCAGATCATGTCGGTCGGTCCGTCCTCGTATACAATTCAAATGACGCGGCCACACGACAGTCGCCGGTATTGTACAACTGTGTGCAACCAGATGGAGCGCTTCGCGCCCCGTACATCATTTCGTAGAATAATGGCGATCTGTCTGGAAGGCTTGTTTTTTACTCATCTGTCAGCTAACGATCTCTGCTACCAGGAAACTATCAGGTTTGTCCCTTATTGAAACAGATTATCAGCGAGATGTGGGGCAAACTTCTGGGCACATATGGGGGGAATCAAACTCGGTAGTTCGGGCACAAATGTACCATATTTTTCAATTGGCCACTGGGCTCGCCGTCCGAATTCAGTCCGAATTTTTCGACCGTTCTCGTCAAAGGCTGTACGGTTTGTCAGCAACAACTTTACGCCGAGAAGGCGCCACACTAACGAACTGTTTGGCTTGTTTTTGAGGCTAACGGGAATGGGTTCCAACAGCTTTGATATCAAAATGATATTGCGGTATTCTCCGAAATTGGGACACAAGAACTTCCCCTTTCACTCGTGGTCTAATGTTGAGCCTTTCCGAAGTGTGAACACCTTCAGGTGAAGCTAACTGGTCCCTTTCCGGATGATGTCTTCTGTTTGGTGAGATTGTAGACTTGTGTTTTCACCACCGTACATCCTCGTAGTGTGGGCCTGGACAACATGCCTGTGGACCTATCGGTCATCTAACTAATACTAAAAGCAATGATTCGCTTGCTTCGACTCTTTCAGTTCAAATCAATGTATCATTTTTAATGAAACGGTCTGTTCTCATTCACGTTAATTTGCAATAAGTTTTTTACCACCAGAACACAATGTGTGTCATCACATGGATAACGGGAATGTACGTAGTGACTCTTCTCACACAACACAGCAGGTGATACGAAAGTGTCCAATCAACCTTCTCAATCGTTTCTCCTCGGTGCCTTTATATTGTGCCCTAAAAGAGCTGAAGCACACAAAACGATTACAATATTTGTAAGCTTTTTCGTACACAAGTGAGGCCATTTCGCTGACTTGCAGGTAATGTCGCACGTATCTTTTTCTATCCTAAGATGATAGCTGACATACATTATCATGTGTTTCACACAACAGCGGCTGCGTTTGAAAGCAAGTTTTTCACCAGGTCTCATGATTGCAGATAGTGTTCGATGGTCCAAGTGAATATTAATGATAAATATGATAACAGTACTGCTTTTCACCATATTTCACTTTGAGTAATTCGTGAGCAGATCCAGGAAAACACATGGCTTAGATTACTTAGGTTAGTTCATTCCTTTTAAGAGTTTAACAAGCGATGCATTTTCTTTTCTTTTCGTTCATTTTGTCATGCGACAGGCGGGATAAGCACGTTCCATGCTATGCTCAACAGTTTCATCCACTTTATGATGTACATCTACTATGGTCTGGCCGCAGCGGGACCTCGATACCGAAAGTATACCTGGTGGAAAAAGTGAGTCGGATACACCATTTCCGGATGTTAGCTCTGTTCCATGTCATAAGTCGTTAAATGATGTACAACTCAGGCCGATTTAGTCAGCCCCCCCCCCCAATTCGGACCGCTGTTCAACAAGCAATAACCCGTCCATCGTTATGAAATATCTTCATGAATTGCGGTGGTGTTCCTAACACTCATGTTTGACGGTCACTTTCGAGTTTGGTGGGCGGCGACCGTACAGCCAGATGTTCTTACGTATGCGATAAGCGGATTTAACTCAACACCCGTTTGAACAGCTCAGTTGGTGTCTTTGGAGTGCGCAATGCTGGGGGGAATAAACCTGACTTCATTTAGAAACCAATGAAGACACATTGACCAGGCTTGGATAGGATATCTTCTCGTGAGAATATTGGCAGTAAATGGGGGCGCCGACGTGATAGATGAGGCATTTTGTTGTTGAAATGTTGTCACGCGTTATAAAATGGGGTGCATATTCACAATGGCCAACGTGTCTATCATCGTTATGATAAAAAGGGTGTTGGATGCGACCCACCTGCAGCGCTTTGGTGATACCTCCTCCAACGGTGTCAAAACGTTCGCCAATTAATTACCAAACACGCCCAACAACTAATAGTTTGATCAACTGGGACTAATCCGTGGCAGTGGATCGGGGTTCCTCGAGGAGGCAGTTAATGTGCTGGTCAGGTATTGGATCCTTCACTCTTGTTGAAATGAAGGAGGCTATCACATATGATGAAATCTGTTGAAATTATTCGCATATGACTGTCTCTCAACTTTGAATGATATCGAAGAGATTTCGCGTTGATAGTCATTTGCATTGGGAAATACTTCCAGGGCCAACGTTCCGAAACCCCTGTAGGTACTTTCCCATGGGGGAACTCATCTTCCTTTCAATAATCAAATTCTTGCAATGGGGTGCATGTTTTGGCATTCTGTGACTCCAACCGTTGCTTCCGTTATGGCCTTTGTAGGGGACCGGAAGAGGCACGTATAGTGTGTAATGCCAACCGATTTTTGTGTTCCAGTGCTACCTTTCTCTGCACCACCACTGCATCTCTATCTTTTTTGCTCTTCGTGTTGGAAGATCTTGCGTCAGTGTGTTTCTTGTTCTGTTCTCTGCCCGTCTAGGTATATGACTACTGCTCAGATTATCCAATTTGTGGTGGTCATTTTCCATTCAGTCTACACGTTGACATTGCACGATTGCAATTATCCAAAACTGTTCAACTATTGGATTTTGTCCTACGCGCTCATCTTTCTGGTCTTGTTTGCCAACTTCTATTCACGGGTAAGTTCGCCTCAAGCTGACCAACAGCACCTTGCGTTGCAAAGCCATGCGGATATGTGGTAATTTATTGTGCGTTTCATACACGCTGTTCGTGTTCCCTTCATCTCCATTGGTTTAGATTAACAGGGGTCCAATTTGGGGTTAGGTACAGTAATTCTGTATTCTCCTGCTTAATACTTGGTCCAGTGGTAAATGATTCCTGACGAACGCCTAGTTCACCGCTGAGCCGTATATTTACTCTGTGTTCTGTCCGGCAATTTTCGGTCTTTTCAACTTGGGCAAATAGACTTATCACCGGAGATCAGGTGATCCCTTTTGTGCCTACTAGCCACTTGGATTCACGTGGTTCTTGTTTGCTAATGACCAACCTTCACGCAAACGCATATCAGATAACACACCTTGTTATTCGGTGTCAAGCAAATGAAGAGAAGTCAGATGATGAATAGAAGGGGGCAAGTCTAAAGCTGTTGGCGTGCCAAACTGAGTACTCAATCAGAGGATAACTAGACAGTTGATGTTGGCCCGCATGACACCCTGGGCCCACGTACTGTTGGACGGTGTTACTAAATAGTCAGTTTGACCTGTAGTTGCAGGAGGGCACTCCTAGGACCGCTTCGTATCTGTCATCGAGGAACTCCCAGTCTAGTAATGCGGCTGATTTTCTGGCCCAAATGGGAACAAGTACGCAGTTGAACGCACTGCCGTCTGTCTCATATGGACTGGTGGACTGCATTACTAGTAAGTCGATCTCGTACCAAGCCCGTATAGCGTTCTGCAGTTAGTTGTGGTTTGCATCGCCCCAAGGACCTAACTCGCTGTGTTTTAAAGCATGTTCACAGGCCCATGGGAACTTAACTGAACCAAGTGGTCCCGCTTTTCGTCTAAACTGTCGTGGTTTCCGAAACCGTTGCATACGTGTCTATCCTTCCTGATATATCCAGTGTTGAGAGGTGAGAACGACAGGTTGCACGTGCACATCTCAGCTCTCTGGCGCTAAGCTGAGTTGATGTGTACCCGTATAATCTCCCTCCGTACCTTTCTCTCCACTTCACAAGGTCGCTATCGGTAGCTCTTCAAATTTCGTCTACGGTGCCCAGGCATCGTCGCTCCTATCCACCAGACTTAGGTTGATTGGTATCGAGTTGCGCGCAGAACAGTTGGCTTTGGATTGTCTTTTGCTGTCGACAAACCTTCAAACTCCGTAGGCGGTTGTATAGGCCATTCCGTCACAGCACATTTACTGGGGAACTTCTGTGTCCGACAGTTTTGTATTCCAACCGACACTTTGCCCACCTTAAACGCCGCCTGTGAAAGCCTCATTTATAGCATACCGCGTCGGCACATAGTCTGTTTTGGTGATACACAGGGGAGCATTACTGCGTAATCACACACTTTGGTCTCGTCCCACAAGATCTTTTTCATGGGAATTTTCCGAGTTCAAAATAAATTGTTCAGCTGCAACACCCTTTCGGTACCTAGCTGCCATGCTACTCGAAGGAGGCACGAGTGCTGGGATATTGCCAGATTGTCCAAGCCTAGACAAGGGAAGTCGAGAGGCAGAGATTGGGTTCTATATACCGGGCCA